GGGCCCCCCAATAATTGGGGACCCAATTCGGGGGGCGGGGGGGGGGGGTGCTGTGGGGGCCTCCCCTGAGCCCTCTGCCCTCCCTGCAGACAGAGCACATCCCCCCCTACGACGTTGTCCCCTCCATGAGGCCCGTGGTGCTGGTGGGACCCTCCCTAAAAGGATACGAGGTAGGAGGCAGGGCCCGAGGGGGGGTTCTGCACAATTGGCCCAGCCCCTTGCTGATCTGGGGGGAGCACCCTATGAACATTGGGGCTGGGGGGCCTCCACGACCCCCTCCCCCCAACCCAGCTAGGACCACTTGCTCCTGTCCCCCAGCTGCATCCAGACCCACCATGAATGGAGAATCCTCCTTGCAGTACGGGGGCTCCAATACACCGTGTCCTGCAGTGGGATGCACAGGCTGGGCACAGGCATGGTCTGTCTGGCCCCGCGTGACCTTGCAGGGCAGAGGCCTCAGGCCCCGTGAGCTGGGGTGGGGGCTACAGCAAGCTGTCCTCCAGCCCAGTGACCCTGGGGGTAACACGGGGCCACTGACCCTCGTACCCGCAGGTGACAGATATGATGCAGAAGGCTCTTTTCGACTTCCTCAAGCACCGGTTCGATGGCAGGTGAGCCCCCCGCCCCAGTCCGGTCCCCTCACCCCTGACCCCGCTCTCAGTGCATCATGGCCCCTGTGCCCTGCAGGATCTCTATCACCCGCGTCACAGCAGACCTGTCGCTGGCCAAGCGCTCTGTGCTCAACAACCCAGGCAAGCGCGCCATCATCGAGCGCTCCACCACACGCTCCAGCATCGGTGAGTGCCCGCTGCCGGCTCCCGCACCCCCTGGGCCTGCGCCACCCCCAGGGCTCACCTGTGCCTCCCTTGCCCGCAGCGGAGGTGCAGAGCGAGATTGAGCGCATCTTCGAGCTGGCCAAGTCGCTGCAGCTGGTGGTGCTGGATGCCGACACCATCAACCACCCGGCACAGCTGGCTAAGACCTCGCTGGCCCCCATCGTCGTCTATGTCAAGGTGTCCTCGCCCAAGGTCAGCCGGGCAGGGGCCACTGGGAGCCCTGGCATGTAGTGCCCCCTGCCTCCCCCTGTGAGGCCGGGGGTATAGGGTAGCTTGGCACTGAGGCCTAGGGGCTTTGTTGACCCCTCTGCCCCAGCAGGTCCAGCTGCAGGAGGGCTGGACCCTGGAGTGTCCCCGGGGAGGAGGTGGGGTCTGTGCATGTCCTGGCCTGTGTGACCCTGGTGGCACCCCCCCCAGGTGCTGCAGCGGCTCATCAAGTCCCGGGGCAAGTCTCAGGTGAAGCATCTCAATGTCCAGATGATGGCAGCCGACAAGCTGGTGCAGTGCCCCCCGGTGAGTATCCCCCTCTCCCAGCTGCCCCCAGGGACCCTTGGACAGGCTCTTACCTGCCCCCTACCCCCAGGAGCTCTTTGATGTCATCCTGGATGAAAACCAGCTGGAGGATGCGTGCGAGCACCTGGCCGAATACCTGGAGGTTTACTGGAGAGCCACACACCACCCCTCGCATGGGCCCGGCCCTGCCACGCCACCCACCGCCATCCCAGAGCTCCAGGTAGATGGGGAGGGGGGCTACAGCAGCATGTGCATCACACCCCGCAGTACCTGCATCTCTGTGGCCCCTGCCTACCCCTTGCCCTGGTCTCTGCCCCCAGACCCAGCAGCTGCTGGGGGACCGGGGCAATGAGCACTCGCCCCTGGAGCGCGACAGCCTGATGCCGTCAGATGAGGCGAGCGAGACATCACGGCAGCCCTGGGCAGCCTCGTCGCCACGTGGCTCCCGGCACCTGGAGGATGAGTACACAGACGCCTACCCCGACCTGTACCAGCCACACCGGCACCGCCACAGCGGGCTGCACAGCACCAATGGGCACGACTCCCAGGACCGCCTGCTGGAGCGTGACGGCGGCCAAGGCCACTGGCAGCGCAGCCGGCCCTGGGCCAAGGACAGCTACTGAGGGACCCCCGCCCAGGCCTGGCATCCCTGTCTCCAAGCAGCCCCACAGGGCTCAGGGAGCTGCTGGGCAGGGCCCTGCGTGCCCAGAGCTTGTGTGCCTCCAGCTGAGCCATGGGCAGGGGGCATCCCCCCTCTTTCCCCCACCCCCAGCCTGCATGGGTGTGACCCCTCCGGGCCTTGCGCAGGGTGGTAGGGGGGACACAGGTCATCTCCCCGCAGGTGACCCGGCTCAGTCTCCCAGGAGGGTGGCAGCGCAGCACAGAGACCCTGAGGAGCCAGGACTCCTAGGTTCCACTCCTGGCTTGGGCACCTCCCCCCGTACCCTCTTCCCCCCCTCACTGCTTCGAGGGCCAGGGACAGGGCAGCCCCTGCCCGAGCGCGTCACCCTCCCTCTTGGAATTGCACCCACGAATGCACGTCCACCAACTGTGCCCTGCCGCCCTCTGCCGGACGGAGCGGGCTGGGGGGGGGCCGATGCCCGCGGTGCCGCAGCAGCGCCTTTGTTACACCTTTTGTAGAAAGCACCGATCTCCCCGATGACACGTCGCCCGTTTCAACAAGAACCTTTGCAGATCATGTGTAGTGTCTGCCTTGCTTCCCGCGAGGGGGTGGGGGATTGACCCTGGGACTGCAGGGACCCCGCCTTGACCTTGCTACGCGGTGCCGGGGCCTCAGCTGGGAAGGGTAGATGCTAGCAGCATCCCCGCGTGGGGAGGCTGCAAGGCCAAGGTAGACAGAGTGCGCCAATGCCCCCATGGCCCCTAGCTGTGGCAAGGGGAAGGCTCCAGGGGACAGCAAGGCTGGTTCCTGCCTCAGGCTGCCAGCTGCATGTGCTTGGGTCCCTGGGACAGTGGGCCAGGGGCAGCAGCCTTCCCCTGCTGCTGCCCAGACAGCCCTGCTCATGGCACAGGCCAGCAGGAAGGGCGCACAGGTCTTGCCCCTCTCCTCAAGGCCTGACTGGACCGCCCACAGCCAGCCCTGGTGGCAAAGAGGGATAGCTGCCAAGACGCATCCTGTCGTTTATTCCTTGCCACAGGCCCAACAAGGACTCAAAACACCAAAAGGGACCAAGTGGCAGGGGACAGCAAAGGGGGTGGGAGGGACCCTGAGGCATGACACTGGCCCCGCAGCCGTGGGGAGCCCAAGAGTGGGGGGGGGAGACAGGCCCCCTCCAGCCCCCAGCAAAAGGAGTCCGGTTCCAGTCCCAAATCCTGCTTAAAACAGAAGGGTTTAATTCGAACCACAGCTTGGCTCTGCTGAGGGTGGGGGGCGCTGCCCCAAAGGCCCAGCTGCCAGGGCTGCATGGGGCAAGGTACAAGCTACAGGCCGTCACATGGCTGCAGCCCCAGCAGGAGGTTGCCAGGGCACAGGAACCCCCTTCCCAGGTCTGGACCATGACCCCAGGGAGGGGTGGGGTGCAGCAGGCTTTTTTGGTCCCTGCTTGTCCCGTAACGACTCTGCCCAACCCAGAGAGGTGAAGCCCAGGCTGGAGAGGGCCTGGCTGAGCAGGGGCAGGGAGTGGAGTCCAGGCTGCTCCAGACGCAGGGCAGTACCTGGCAGCCACAGGCAAAGTCTGGGGCAAAAAGGCCCCCTTCTCCAGCAGGCTCCCCTGGGAGAAACTGTTAGCACGTGGCATCCCGTGGCTCAGGCGAAGATGGTCTCCTCCCGCCGCTTCTTGGTGAGGATGGTGCCAGGCTTGTGCTGGGCGTCGGGGTGGTTGGCCAGCTCCGGCGGGCAAGAGGACACGGGGCTCTCCAGGATGGCCTGCTTCAGGTCGTAGAAGACGGCCGAGTCCTCCTTGGTGAGGAAGGTGATGGCCACACCGCTCTTGCCGGCTCGGCCCGTCCGGCCAATGCGGTGGATGTAATCTGCACAGAGAAGCCAGTCAGGCAGTGCCAGGGTGCCAAGCTGTAGCCACCTCTGGGGTGTGGTACAGCCATGCAGCACTTGTGCCCCAAACGCAGCCACCTTGGGGGTGCAGCAGCTTGGAAGCAAAGCCAAGTGCCAGGAGCCTGCCTTCAGCCGCACCGGCAACCAGTGGCTCTGAGCTTCATCCTGTCCTGGCGCACTGCCCCCACCCGTGTTCTGTGGAAGCTGTGCTCGGTGCACCCCGACAGTCACCCACGTGCCCGACTGAGGCTGGGGGACGCACAGGGGGGAGGCAGGGACTCACCTTCGATGTTTTTGGCCATGTCGTAGTTCACCACCATGGAGACGTCCTGGATGTCGATACCACGGCCAGCCACGTCTGTGGCGACCAGGATGTCCTTGGCACCGGCCTTCAGGTTGGACAGGGCGAACTCTCGCTGCTCCTGGCCCTTGCCACCATGCAGGGTGCAGGCATTGTACTGTTCAGATGAGAAAGGGCAGCTCAGAGCTGGGTTGGGGAGGTGCCATGGCACCAGTACCCATCTGGCAACGGCTTGATGACCTCCCCACCCAGCAGGCGCTGCAGGCCCCAGGAGAAGAGTGAAAGCTGCATGGCCCTTGGGGGTGGGAACGGACCCAAGCTAGAGCCCCCTCCTGCGTAAGACGCAGGATCTGCAGGCCCGGTGGCTACACCACAGCCAAGCTGCACAGGCAGCACCCTCAGCCCCGTGGCACCACTTACCCCCATCTTCTCCAGTGACTTCGCCAGCACATCGCAGCCCTTCTTCTGGTTGACGAAGATGATGATGGGTGGGTCAAAGCCCTGCTCCAGGATGGCTAGCAG